TTAATGCATTATGGCCCTTTGTCAAAGATCAGTTGACTGTTTGTGGATGGATTTACTTGTGGGTTCTCAATCTGTTCCACTGATCTATGTATCGTTTGTTGTACCAGTACCATGCTGTTTTTACACTGTGGCTGTGTAGTAGATTTTGAGATCAGAAAATGAGATGCCTCCAACTTTATTCTTTTTCTTAAGAATTGCTTTCCTTATTTGAAATCTCTTGCCTTTCCACACAAACTTGTTACTGTGATTAAGTGCTGTAGAGTTGATTTCAACTCATAGCAACTCTGTACAGGGTTTCTGAGGTTTTAAATATTTTGTGGGAGCAGAAGCCTCATCTTTCTCCCTTGGTGCGACTGGTGGGCTCAAACTGCTGACCTTGTGGTTCACAGCTCAGTGCATCTTCTATGGAGTCAGTTTTCTGTCTCTTAAAAGAATGATGTTGAAATCTGAATTGAGATTGCATTGTATCTATAGATTGCCTTAGGTAGTGTTGACATTTCCACAATGCTAAGCCTTCCTATCTGTGAGCATGGTATGTTCTTCCATTTTGTAAGTGTCTTTTTGGTTTCCTGTAGTAGTGTTTTGTGGTTTTCTTTGTATAGGACTTTGTTTCTCTGGTTAGAGTTATACCTAAGTATGTCTTCTTCTGGGTGGCTATTGTAAATGGTAATTCTATCTGATTTCCTTTTCAGAATTCTCTTTATTAGTGTAATGAAATCTGACTGATTTTGGTACCCTGCCACTTTGTTGAATCATTTAGCTGTATGCTGCTACTTTGCTGAATTTGAATTCTAATCATTTTCTTACTGACATGCCATCTGCAAATAGAGAGTTTTACTTCTTTGCCAATTTGCATGCCTTTAATTTCCCTTTCTTGCCTTATGGGTCTGGCTAAGATTTCCAGCACATTATTGAATTGGAGTGGTGATAAAGAGCATTTGTGTCAGGTTCCAATTTACAAAGGGAATGCTTTCAGTTTCTCTCCGTTGAGCGTAATGTTGGCTTTTGGATTTGTATGTTGTTGTTGTTAAGTGCCGTCAAATCGATTCTGTTCTATGGCGACCCTGTATAGAGTTTCCGAGGAGCAGCTGGTGAACTTGAACCACCGACTTTGCAGTTCATATGGTTTTGCAGTCTGGCGCATTAACTCACAGCACCACACCAGGACACCAGTTGGATTTGTATGTTGTTGTTAGGTGCCATTGAGTCAGCACCGACCCATAGTGACCTTCGCACAGCAGAACTGAAACCCTGCCTGATCCTGGGCCAACCTCACTACTGTTGCCACACTTGAGTCCACCG